TTGTGCTGACATCTCATTGTTTTCTTCTTATCAGGTCGCACGGCGTTCCACCGTCCTAATAGGGAATGGGTCACATGCTTCTGTTCATGGTGTTGGCACGGTAGATCTGAAGTTTAATTCGGGAAAGATCGTGCAGCTGAAGAACGGGCAGCATGTCCCTTCTATCGACATGAATCTTGTTAGTGGCTCCCGTCTGACTAGAGACGGATTTAAGTTGGTTTTTGAGTCTAATAAAGTAGTCGTGTCTAAACATGGATATTTTATTGGTAAAGGTTATGAGTGCGGAGGCCTGTTCCACTTTTCCCTTTCTGATTTCTGCAATAAGTCTGTGAACCATATTTGTGGCAGTGTGGATGATGAGGCTAAAGTTTGGCACTCACGTTTATGTCATATTAATTTTGGCTTGATGTCTCGGCTTTCCAGCATGTGTTTAATTCCTAAGTTTTCCATTGTGAAAGGTTCTAAGTGCCATAGTTGTGTGCAATCGAAGCAACCTCGCAAACCTCACAAGGCTGCCAAGGAGAGAAACTTGGCACCACTAGAACTCCTACATTCAGATCTTTGTGAAATGAATGGGGTGTTTACGAAGGGTGGAAAACGATATTTCATGACGTTGATTGATGATGCTACTAGATTTTGCTCTGTGTACTTGTTGAAATCAAAAGACGAGGCTCTAGACTATTTTAAAATTTATAAGGCAGAAGTTGAAAATCAACTTGATAGAAAGATAAAAAGGCTTAGGTCTGATCGTGGTGGAGAGTTTTTCTCAAACGAGTTTGACTTATTCTGTGAGGAACATGGTATCATACATGAGAGGACGTCTCTCTATTCTCCCGAGTCTAATGGGATTGCTGAAAGGAAGAACCGCACACTGACTGACTTGGTGAATGCCATGTTGGACACCGCGGGACTACCTAAGGCATGGTGGGGGGAGGCATTGTTGACCTCGAATCATGTGTTAAACAGAGTTCCTAACAGAAATAAGGATAAAACACCATATGAGATATGGATTGGGAGAAAACATCACTTTCGTATTTGCGCACATGGGGGTGCTTGGCGAAAGTCAATGTACCAATAACGAAGAAGCGCAAACTGGGACCTAAGACTGTGGATTGTGTCTTTCTGGGATATGCTCATCACAGCATTGCCTATAGATTTTTAATAGTTAAATTTGAGGTACCTAACATGCATATTGGTACAATTATGGAGTCTCGTGATGCTACCTTCTTTGAGAGCTTTTTCCCAATGAAGGATATACATAGTAGTTCGAGCCAACCCTCTGAAGTAATTCCCAGTTCAATACACCACCAGAACAAACTGAACATACACATGAACATGTCATTGACGAGGATGTCAGTGAAGCTCCTCGAAGGAGTAAGAGACAAAGGACGGCTAAGTCCTTTGGTGATGATTTCACTGTGTACCTCATGGATGACACTCCTAAGTCAATTTCAGAAGCATATGCATCTCCTGATGCAGACTACTGGAAGGAGGCTGTCCGTAGTGAAATGGATTCCATTATCACTAACGGGACTTGGGAGGTGACAGAGCGACCCTGTGGGTGTAAACCTGTGGGGTGCAAGTGGGTGTTCAAGAAGAAGCTTAGGCCTGACGGTACTATTAAAAAGTACAAGGCTCGGCTTGTTGCTAAAGGCTATACTCAGAAAGAAGGCGAAGATTTCTTTGACACTTACTCACCTATTGCTGGATTGACCACAATTCGTGTGCTACTTTCCCTAGCAGCCTCACATGGTCTTCTCGTTCATCAAATGGACGTTAAGACAGCTTTTCTTAATGGAGAGCTGGATGAGGAGATCTATATGGATCAACCTAATGGGTTTGTAGTTGAAGGTCAAGAAGGCAAAGTGTGCAAATTGTTGAAGTCTTTATATGGTCTGAAACAAGCTCCTAAGCAATGGCATGAGAAATTTGACAAAACATTGACATCTGCAGGCTTTGCAGTCAATGAGGCAGATAAATGTGTGTACTATCGCCATGGTGGGGGTGAGGGAGTTATTCTGTGCTTGTATGTTGATGACGTACTGATATTTGGGACAAACCTTGAGGTGATAAATGAGGTTAAATCATTCTTGTCTCAAAATTTTGATATGAAGGATTTGGGAGTAGTTGATGTTATCTTAAACATTAAGCTAATTAGAGGTGAGAATGGAATTACACTCTTGCAGTCCCATTATGTGGAGAAGATTTTGAATCGTTTTGGCTACATTGATAGTAAGCCCTCTCCAACACCTTATGATCCTAGCTTGTTGCTTCGCAAGAACAAGAGAATTGCTAGGAATCAACTGGAATACTCACAAATCATTGGCTCGCTGATGTACCTGGCTAGTGCAACTAGGCTTGATATCTCCTTTGCTGTGAGCAAGTTGAGCCGGTTTACCTCTAATCCGGGAGATGATCACTGGCGTGCGCTTGAGCGAGTAATGCGCTATCTGAAAGGTACTATGGAATTGGGGCTTCACTATATTGGTATCCTGCGGTATTGGAGGGTTATAGTGATTCTAACTGGATCTCTGATGTGGATGAGATCAAAGCCACTAGTGGATATGTCTTCACACTGGGTGGTGGTGCTGTTTCGTGAAGGTCTTGCAAACAGACCATTTTGACGAGGTCAACCATGGAAGCAAAACTGACGGCACTAAATACTGCTACTGTTGAGGCAGAATGGCTGCGTGATCTATTAATGGATCTGCCTATTGTTGAAAAACCGGTGCCGGCTATCCTTATGAAATGTGACAATCAAACGGTAATTGTCAAAGTGAATAGTTCTAAGGATAATATGAAATTGTCTAGACATGTGAAAAGATGATTGAAGTCTGTCAGGAAATTGAGAAACTCCAGAGTTATAACGTTGGATTACATGCAAACAGCTAGAAACCTGGCAGATCCCTTCACGAAGGAACTATCACGAAATATGATAGATAATGCATCGAAGGAGATGGGTTTGAGACCCATGTGAGTTATACTATGGTGGTAACCCAGTCTATGTGATCGGAGATCCCGTGAATTAGAACCTGGGAAGAACAAACCATTAGTAAACTAGAGGAGAGTACTTATCTATACCCTCTCTAAGTGAAGATGCATGTACTCTCGTGAGCTGCAAGGCAGATTGGCTATGCCTTAATGAGTTCTGTTGGCTTTAATTAGCGAAGATGTTGTCCTGCAGAGCATTCTTGAAAGAACTCACTTTTGTAAGCTTGACTGTTGGTCGCAGTCTATGGAGATTTTGGGTGAATCTTCTAGGAAGCTTACTAATGACCTAGGAGTATGACTTATACGCTCCACCCGAGGGGTAGTCTATAGACGGTCTAGTACCAGATAAGACTCTGAGTGAAACTTGCTTACACAAGACTTACAATTCAAGGCGTAGTCCATTGTTCAAGTTGTGAGTAAGTGTAGCTTGGAGATCTAGGTGGATGTTCAACCTTAATCGGTCTCCATCGAACCGCTGGTATATAAACAGTACATTGGAAAAGGCAAATCTCAGTGGGATTTTGAGATTTGGTGGGGGATTGTTGGAATTAATAGATGGGCTAAGGCCCATTCGAAGATTAATTCTTTGGAAAATCACAAAAGCCCACCTCATGGGATGACATGCATGTGGAGTTTAGTATCACCTTACTTATTTTACGAGAGGGGGACCTCCTTAAAAGGGAGGATGCCATCCTAGTCACTTGAAGCATGTGTGGTGGAGAAAAGAGGGGAAACACACGCGCGCGCTCGCTCGCCTCGCCTCGCCTGGCAGGGCAGGCGGTGCACGTGCACGACGTACGCATCGAATGGTCCGCAAAATTGGCTCCTCACCCTTGCGCAGATGCAGCTTCCTTTTGCAGTTTTGTTTTGCTGCGGGAAATTTGAATTTGTTTTGTTTTGGAAACATTTCGAAAAATCCGGTGCGTGAAAAACGGCGTGGAGTCCGGATAGGTTACGCGCGACTTATCCGGTTCGGTTTACGCGGGCGCCCTGATCAGGCGACCTATCTCTATATAAACCGAGCCGCCGCCTTCACACATCACACGCGAAATCAATCTAGGGTTTGCCTCCTACTCTGTACCGCGCGTCGCTCGTAGACTACTCCATCCCGCTCGCCGGCATGCACCGGCGATCGGGAGAGCAGGTCTCCGGAACCTCTGCCTTCGACGTCCTGCACCGGGAGAAGGCGGCAATAAGGTTTTTGGGAAGCGCTTCGCTCGACTGCTCCCTGTTCGTTCGTGACGGCTCGGCTTCCTCTCCGCTCGCGTGCTTCGCGCCTTCGTCGACGCTCGCAACCGCGAGTAGTTCCTAGCGAGCAACCGGTCTTTCCGCCATCTCGGTACGTGTTCGACATGTTGCGCATATTTGATCTGTTCATGTTTTACTGCTTAGTTTACATGTGTAGATCTAATGATGCGTTCAATCTAGTTTACATCTGCAATGTCATGATTTATTTATGGAATAAATTAAATTATTATGTGCTTATAATTTCAACATTGCTTCCTCTTATTTTTGTGACCTGGCTAAGCCCTCTCTGTTCAGCTTCACGTGATCTGATCTGAGAATACTACAAAACTGCCCCCTTTTTTTTTTTAGAACTGTACAAAACTGACTGCAGAAATTGATTCAACCCAGTAAGGCCAGGGAGGCAGGGGCAGATGCACGTGTTCACGCGCAGCGGCGTGGAGAGGACTGTGGAGTCCATCGCTTGGATTATTCCAAATTGCATATTTACAAATAAAAAATAATTTATAAATAAAACTTTTATATATGTGCTATTAACGATCTGAAAAATAAACTACGATGAAAAAAACTTTAAAATCAACTTAAATTTAAGGTTAAAAGTTTTAGATTTTTGTTTATTAGTACTCCTCCGTTCTAGTAACAATCTATTGTAAGCATAAAAAAAAAAAGAAGCTGATAAAAAATTGAAGTGCAGTCACAAAAATTTCACTCAACTGACACATCGACAGTAAAAAAAAAACAAACAAAACAAAACGGCCACTCCAATCCCCTCCCGCTCGCACAATCGACGCCCACTTCCGCCGATCCGGCCGCCGTCTCCCGCACTGCCCCCACCTCAACCGCCGCTGCCGCCGATCCTGCGGTCTCGCCTCGCCTCGCCGCCCTCCGCCTCCGCCTCCCTCCCGCCCCTCGCCGTCTTCCGCCTATCCCCGCCGTCGCGGCCCCCTCACTTCCCCACCTCCACCGCCGCTGCGCCGATCCATCATCCTGCTGCCTCGATCCATCATAGCTGCGCGCGCTCCGCCGTCGCGCCTCCACCTTCCCCTCGAAAGCAACTCGCCTTCTCCACTGGTGGCCTCCGCCTAACCCCGTCGCCGCCACTAGTGGATCGCGACCGTGCCGACAGGTGATTGGATTTTTTTCTTTTTTCAATGATAAGTTCGACTGATTTGATGAATCTTGGATTGAAGGTTGGAGAGGACAGCAAATACCTCTCGCCCGATGTCAATCGCGGCAACTTCATTTCTTTAATCTCCAATATGGACTTGGGACCAATGCCCTAAGCTTCACTATTAAATTTGGCTGCGCTAATGAATTCATATGAATTCTGCTTTTTTTTTTTGTGGGGTGAAATGATATGTTATTTTATTTTGTGGAGAACTTGCTTCACAATCTGCTGCTAACTCAACCTGATCAAATCTGTTTTAAAATGGAGCTGTCAATGTGCAGAAATTGAACTAAATTGCAGTGGCATATATTCTAGCTTGCTGAAAGAGTTATCAACTACTGCAATGTTGAATACTGTCAGTTTAAGCAGCACCATGGTCTGTATTGTGTGTTGACTACCTCAATCACCTAACCGACAACCACAAACTCACTGATATGAATAAATGAATGCGAGCAAATTTTTTATCTGGTTCTGAACTTCAGCAATCGTATGCTGTCCTCAATTGGCTTTCAGTCTCTGAGTTTCGCAAGTTTGACCTTCGGCATTCTGTTTTACATTTGTTTGTTTGTGCAGAGGGGTTCAGCTTCAAGAAATAGATCCCACTGATCTTTAATGTAGTTTTTCTTTTCCTATAATATGCTGCAGATCACACACATTTCAGAGTTAGTCTCCACACCAACGTTGTCGTCACTATCAGGTGATTTTTAGGTCGCTTCAGCTATGTGCATTTTATTTGGTGATGGTATAGAGGCCACAATTCGACCACATATAGTGGCCTGACCCTGACGCGTGAATTCATATCAATATTTATTACACCGAACTCGTTTCTTTTTCTTCCAGCGTGGGTAACTTTTTACAGCTTGTATTTATTCTGAAAGTAAATTGCTTGGAAGCAAACATATGCATAAGAGTCTTTTTTTACATAATAATGCAGCATTTGATGGACATTTAACATGAAACTTTGTAAATCTAGACACTTGTGCAGCTGAAATAGCATATATATTGATTGGCTCTTTCATATCCATAAAGAATGAATGATTTGTTCGCTTCAGCTATTTGCATATTATTTGTTTCAATCTTATACTACTAATTATAGTTTGAAACAATAAACCATGCTATAGATGCATATTCATTCAGAATTTTTCAACATCAATTATTTGCCCCATAGACCATACAGATAGTCACCATCAACAATTTTCTCCACATAAAAAAGAAACCTTAACTATCTGTCACCAAAAGATTGTAATTCAGGATTTGCATTCTGTTCATCACACAGAGTTTATTTAGCGCAAAATGTTTTTCCCTACATGTCAATCCCAGAATATAATCGTTTTCAGATTATCGCAGTGTGAACTGTTTGATGTAACAGATTGTAGGCAACCAACCAACCAGTCCAGGGGCCCCAGGAGTCCAGGCTTGCTTTTTGAAAACCCTTACCTACTCCACAAGCAATTATGAGAATTGAGATGTTGGAAAAACTCTGTGAATAGTGTTTGAACTTTTCGAAAAGGTTAAAAATTGATGTTATCATTTATATACTGCTATTCTTCACATTTGCATTATTTCCTCAAAGTTTTATTTCTCTGAGTTCCTTTTTGGTATCCCTTATTTCTGCCTAGAAATTAAATTGACATTCTTCTTCTGTCCACTATGTATTATGGATGCTTTCTGGTGCATATACTAAACAGAAACACAATAATGGTTTTTTTTACTAATCAAGGGTGATAAGAAGGTACTATATATATTCAAGAACATGCATTTTATTATATCACAGAAGAAGGGGTGATCCTTGATGATATAGGCCCTTGGATAGGCTGGTGACTGAAGGAACAGCTGTTAATTGTGTTTCATGATATAGGCCCCTGGATATTTCAGTTTCTGGCTCTGTAGAGGGGTTTAAATTTCATAAATAGATTCAACTGATGTATAATGTGATCTCAATCTTTTAAGTACTGACACAGATATTCAAAAGCTGAAGCACAAAAACACGAAAGTGTAGCCTTCATTATGGGTGGTGTGGCTGATACTTGCCAATAGCATATATAGCGATAATCATCCGTGTAGTTTGCATTGTGCAGGCCATAAAACCCGAGGGTTCAAAGTGAGTCAGAAGAACTGTATCCAGGGGATTAAAAGCAGCGGCCTTTGGGTTGTTGCTTGGAGTACCAAACTTCGGTAATATCGAATTCCAATTTAATAAGCTTATAGCATACATTAGCATTGATCAATTCGATTCGACATGAGAGCAGGAAGGGTTCGTCAGATCACTAATGGAGGTTTGCGCCGCCCGCGCCCCAGGCAAGATTATCCTTGCCGGCGAGCACGCCGTCGTCCATGGCTCAGCCGCCGTCGCCGCCGCCATCGACCTCTACACGCGCTGCTCCCTCTGCCTCATGCCCCTCGCTGACGACGAGGCGGCCGCCACGTTGGAGCTGGACCTCAAGGATCCTGGCCTCACCTTCTCGTGGCCGTGCGGGCGCCTCCGCGAGGTGCTGCTGACAGATGAGGCGGCGGGGGCACGGGAGGCGAGGCCATGCTCCCCGGACCGGCTGGCCTCCATTGCCAGGCTCTTGGAGGAGCACGAGATCCCTGAGGCCAAGATCTGGCTCTCCGCCGGTCTCTCTGCCTTCCTCTTCCTCTACACCTCCATATTGGGGTTGGTTCGCTTGCTCTGCCTCTATCCTGAAAGCAATCCTTGACGTAATCATGAAACCTCCTAATGGGTATGGAGGACTTTGGGCCACATTGTAGGTGTAGACCCGGGAAGGTGACGGTGAGCTCGGACCTGCCCATGGGGTCGGGGCTTGGGTCATCGGCCGCCTTCTGCGTGTCGATGTCGGGGGTGTTGCTGACAGCTGCCGGCGTGGTTACTGCAGTCGGCGGCATCAGCGGCGAGGGCATGGGGTGGGAGTTGGTCGGGAAGGATGATCTTGAGCTAGTTAACCGGTGGGCTTTCCAGGGGGAGAAGATTATCCATGGGAAGCCTTCTGGCATCGACAATGCTGTCAGCACTTTCGGTATGCTCTCCTCTTTTTCATGGAAAGTCTTTCGATTTAGTACTTTTAGATGCCGGCTCTGTTGGACATCCAAGTGACACTTAGTTGAATGAATGAGATGATGCAAATACAGATAATATTGTTACAGTCATCAAATAAAGTGACATATCCTATTTTAGATTCATTATCATTACCGTGTTAAGTTTAGGTACCAGCCATGCATGTTGTGCTAGTTCCAGTTATTTCCAGGAATCTAAACCTCCCTTTACTTGTTATTTGTTTTCCTTGGTTTTGCATATACTAATTAAATCTGTTCCTGATTGTTAGGAAGCATGATCAAATTCAAGAAAGGGGAATTGACAAACCTTAAATCTAGCAACCCAGTGAAAATGCTTATTACGGATACAAGAGTTGGTAGGAACACAAAGGCTCTGGTTGCTGGTGTCTCTGAAAGAGCCTCCAGGCATTCAGATGCTATGGCTTCTGTATTCAACGCAGTGAACTCCATTAGTGAAGAGGTGTCAAGCATTGTTGAGTTAGCAGCTAATGATGAGATAGCTATCACCTCAAAGGAGGAAAAGCTGGCGGAACTCATGGAGATGAACCAAGGTTTGCTTCAGTGCATGGGTGTTAGCCATTCTTCAATAGAAACTGTACTGCGGACAACATTGAAATTCAACTTGGTCTCCAAGTTAACAGGAGCTGGAGGTGGTGGTTGTGTTTTGACCCTGATACCAACTAGTATCCTTTTTATGCCTAACATTTTACAGACTTTCATTCATGACTTCTCTATTGTGAAAATACCACGCCACCTATATATGATTTTATATCTAATAACTCAACTTTCAACAACTTTTGTTCTTTTTGGACATTTAGTGGTTCTGAATTTAGCAAGCTAAATTTCAGAACTACAATAATGACTACAAAAGAATGATTCTGAAATTGCTATGGATCAAATCAGTATACATTGTTATGAAATGTCATAGTGTAGAGAAGCGGAACATAAATGACATATTGCAATCTAAAGATTCTCATATTTCTTTACAATTTAAATACTCAATTTCTTCATATCTGGCTTCTGATATATATTCACTCATTGATGTTTAGTCCTGTTAGATATGCATTTTTACTACGTTCAATGCCCTTGTTCTGGTTTAAGAATGCTTATTAGATCTTTATTGTACTTCTAGCTTCGTCACAGAGTCCACATACTGACACTAAGCTATGTGACTCCTCTTCTGTTGGGATTTATGCCTATCTTTTAGTGATGCATGATGTTTCCTTAACATGAATATCAGTGCTATCCAACTTAGTTCTGGAGAAAGTCATTGCAGAGCTGGAGTCGCATAGTTTTCGCTGCTTTAAAGTTGAGGTTGGTGGACAGGGTCTTCAAGTTTGCCAAGGAGGCTGCTCCTATTTTAATGGAGATGTTGTATAATACTTTGTAGTTATGGATTAGTCAACGGTTTGAGATTTGTTCTTCACACTGTTTCTTCTAGATTAATCCATTAGTTATGTCCTTATTTTAGCCCCGGGCAGTTCCTGTATCAAATAATCCTACCGTCGCATGATTGCCCTTGGGGTTTGTATCAAATACAACTTTTTTGCTGATGCAACTGTTGTACGAGGGAAAGTGCTATGGTAGATGTGACTACTACCTCCAAATTTATCTATTTTATTCACTTATGAAGCAAGAGGCAACCCATACAATATATCACCTCGAGTTCACAAATACCAATATATCTAATACTCTCACATCCTTTTTGAAATTTGTGTGGAGGTTGCCTCTTGATTTAGGGGTGGCTCATCATCTCTCTCTTCACTTTTCTCCTCCACCTCATCACTCAATCTAATGTGGCACTTGTAGGGGCAACATATGAAGCATTATAGTACTTGCCCTGAGTAAACCATTTCACTGCTGCGTTTGGTAATCTGGGAGAGGATTCTAATACCTCTATCCTCTCGCCTAACTTTTTCTCTCAAATTCAATAGAGGTGATTATGAAAAATTCTAAAACAATTTGGCAATATAGTATGGTAGCATCTACCTCTTCATCAAAAATTATATTCAAATTTTATCTATATATTGAGAAACAAAGAAGACATCCAGGAGTGAATAGTACCAATACCATTCATATGCTGTTTTTTTTTATTTCTCAATGTGTGAGTTAAGTTTTGACTTGATTGTTTAAAATAGTTTATTTTATGTATATGGTATGAATGTTGTTTTGTTTGAGAATTTTTGGTAACTATTTATATGGTGTTTTTTTTCTCTTGAAAAAAATAATGGGACATCCCCGCAGAAATTTAAAACACTTTTCCATTGTACCAAACACAGACGGACAGACCTTTCTATGGCTACAATTGGCATCAGCGGCATCAAATATAGGTTTACTTAAACATCGTGGGAACGCCGGAAGATTAGGGGCGCCACGTCAGCGATTTTTGCAAAAAAACCCTTCCCCTTTCGGTTAATTATGGACTGGTCCCCGCTGCTGTCCACCGTCCGATCTCGCCGTAGGGTCGATCTGGCCGTCCACGTGTCCCGCTGTGCCGGGCCTTCCACGCCCGTGTGATCGTCGGATTGTGGACGGACGGCCTGGATTTCGCGAACCGGTACAAACCCTAGCCGCCCGTCCTCTCCTCTCCCCACGCGCGTCGGTTCGTCCGCCTCTCCACTCGCGTGCGCCGTCGCCGCTTCCTCCCCTCGCGTGCGCCGTCGCCGCCGCAGCTCCCTCTCCTCTACCGTGCTGCCGCCGCCGCTCCCTCCCAATGAGCCGCTGGATTTCCCAGTTAGGAGGCCGGGGCCACCGGATCCGGTGACCCCGGTCTCCTCGCCGGCGGATCCGGCGCCCAGACGCCCACCTCCTCCGCTCGCAAGCACCATCGCCGTAACCGCCGCAGCTCCCTTCTCCTCTACCGTGCTGCTCCGGCCGCCGCCGTGTCCCTCTGCGGCCGCCGCCCTTGCTCCCGATGCCACATGACAAAAGTGGTGGCTCCTTCGCCTTGGCCTCCTCCGCTCTGTTCCTCTCCTCTCTCTAGCTCTCCTCGCCCTCTTCTCCTCACTTCTTTACACCTTCAACGTGGGCTCGCCCCGCCCTGCCCTCTCACGCTCTCCGTCACCGCCGCCGCCGCCGCCATCGCTGTCCTCTCCTCCGATGCCGATCCCGATGCCGCCGCCTCCGTCCAAACTGCCTTGACTGTGTGCCAGGCGTCGGCACAAGCCACCGGTGGTGCTTGCCGCCGTCGATCCGCAACCCCACTCTTCCCCGCCACAGGTTAGTCCTAAACTCCCTTGCTCCCCATCCTCCATGTCCCTCTTCTCTCTTTTCCCTTGGAGGTAGGTGCAAGGAGCATTTGTTTTTGTTTTTTTCTCTTCACAATTTTGTAACCTAGAAGATAGGATTACTAAACCATTGTGGATCCCATAATATTAAACATGCCAGTTCTATTGTACTTTTTATATCTTGATGAATGTGTATGATGATTTACTTGATACTACTTTGATCAAACACACATATTGCTGTCATGGTCTTCTTGGATGCTATATTGCTATTGGCCAACTTAAGATGTTTCAATTAGGTCTTTTTAAGACTTCATCAGAATAGTTGCACCTTAGATGGTCCCTAAAGATGTCGAATAGCCGTATCCCTAATTCGTCACATTAAATCTGAATGCAATAAAATTTGTGAAGAGAACCTGTGGATTCAGGAAGTTGCACTTCCTTTTGATTCACTATCGTGGCCTACCCACTCATGAGTGGACTATATATATGTGTACATGATCTATTTTATTATCCTTGTGATGGTCTTCTGTCATTGTGCTCCATATGGATAACACAAAAACACACACACACAAAATATAGAAGCATCGCCTTGTAGTTGCACTTGCCAATTATTGTATCTTCTATTTGGAGGTTTCGATGCTCTTTTATTGTAAATGTTTAATACTATGTTGCCAACTATTGTAGCTTCTATTTGGATGTTTGGACAATGAGGTCGACGCTGGCAAGGCCGTGCTCACGGCGTCGCTTCCTGGTACCTCCAATTTCTTCTCTGGCCCTTACCTCATCTCTTTTGCCAAAGATTTCCTTCCAATCGGCAACCCTTCTTTTGCAGTGCCAACAAGGACGCCCCCATGTGGTTCCCTGCTTGCAGTTGGGGCTTTCCTGCATTTAATCAAGCCTAGGATACCTTTCAAATGTATGCAATGATTCTCTTTGCTTGCCAAGGTAAATTTCCTTTTTAGACTGCTTTGAGATTAATATTTGTGCTTCTTTTTTGCCTGCATAAGATGTACACTTAGAAACATAAATAGTGTGGATCCATCTCAAAGCCTTTAGGATCATAATATAAATGCCCTACTGTTTTTTATTACTGCTTTTTAAGCTTATGGTATCCCTCCCCTGCATATGAAGTGTGACATGTATATGTGAGTTCTGTTTTTCCTCCATAAGAATCAATTACTTTTTAAAACAACATATAAAATTATAAAGTCATCATGACCTATTTAGAACTGAAATTTTAGCTATCATTGGCCTATGTTAAAGCCATGGGACTTTTTTTTTTTACACCACCTTGCATGAGGTGCATATTAAATTCTTGTGTACCTTAATTTGGTTCTTCCTCTTAGCTAGAGGTATAGTAAGACATACTAGCTAGGAGGGCCTACGATCCATTGATAATGTCTCACTGAATGCAAATTAAAAGAGTCTTAAGTGTCTACAGATGTCTCTAGATTTTAACTATATTGTGCTAGGGTAGAATGAATCAGACTTGACCCTGTTAAATCATTTTTTTTCTCACAGGTTTACCTTGAAAGAATTGTTTTCTTTCAATCTTTATTGAATAAATGTTTATGGTTTTACCTTGAATTGGTTTTTTAATCTTTCATTAAATAAATGTTTATGTTGCAAATATCCAGTATCAGGTGATGGTTCGGCTATAATATACACTAGCTTGCGCCCCTTTTTGTCTATGATATGCATTTAGACTGTTGTAGGTCACTGGCACAGGTTCATCGCAGCCGCCATCGTTACCTGATGATTTGCTGCCCGGCCTTCCCGTCTCCAGGTCAGCTGTACATCACCCTCCCCCCCCCAAGAGAAAATTGTATATGTACCATTGCAAAAGAATGGATTCACTAGAATACCATCCTTAAAACAGGCTTCGGTAAAATACCACGTTCAACGAAGATGGCTTCGCCCGAATGCCCTACTGGACTAATTTGCCCTTGGGCATCTTCTTCCACCCTTCGGCACCTCTTCCATCTTCCTGTAGCTCACCGGCGGCCATGGCACCCGCCTATTGCAGCAGCAGGTACATATGCTAGTGGAGGGAGCAAGTTCCGTGCCCGCGTCCGTCCGCCCTCGGTCCAAAACCTGCTTGGCACCGGCCGTGCGCTGCGCGCGAGGAGGAGGCGACTCCGGCTCGGGGCAAGGTCGGACTCGGGAAGCGGAGGAGACGAGGCCGTGCGCAGTCGCGTTGTGCATGCACGCCCACCACGTGCTCTCGCCAGCCGCGGGCGCGCGCGATGACAACGACCACCGCTGCCATCACCGTCGAGGCATGCTACCAGATCTGGTGCTGGCGGGTGAGGATGAGCGGCGGGTGAGGACCACGACGGAAGGGCAGCGCTGCAATTGACGATGGAGGACAATGAGACGGCGGCGAGCGGTAGTAGCTGGTGATGCGGGGACCCAGACTTGGAGCCACTGCGGAAGACAGCGAAAAATTGCCGTGATGGACGACGAGGCGGCGGAGCCGTCGATGGCGTCGTGGTTGACCTGTGACTGTTTGAGGCTGCTTGTTCTGCTTGTTTGCTTGCTGGTTGAGAAGGACGAATTGGCTCTGCTTGTCCTCAATGAATTGGCTGCTGACCATCGTGGTTTACCGTCGTGGCTGCATCTCCTCTCCAATGCTACAGCTAGTGTTGGCCATGGCACATAGTCGTCGCCGGTGAGCTCCTCCGGCTCATGGAGGAGGAAGAAGTGGAGCCAAGGGTAATATCGTCCAGGATGGCATTTCGGCGAAGCCGTCTTCGTTGAACGTGGTATTTTACCGAAGCCTGTTTTAAGAATGACATTCTAGCGAAGTCATTCTTTTGCAATGGTACATATGCAATTCCCCCCCCCCCCCCCCCAAATGTAACATCCTGAAAATGCGTCATTTTCTAATCCTGCATCATGCCGATTATTATGATCTTAATAACTTCCTAAACCTAGGATAATATAATTAGAGGGACCTCCTAGAACTAACTCGCACAAAACCTCTCTGTTATTTAATCTCTTTTGTGTTTTTCATTTAAAAATATATATTTGGTTAAATTGAGGTATTTCTTGATTTGGTTTAAAACCTTCTTTTGATTAAAATTTCTTTTATTCAAATTTAGTTTGAAAACCCCTTTCTATTTTTATGAATTATGGTCCAAGAAATTCTCCACTATTGTCCTAGAACCTAAACCAAACAATTCCAATTGGATTTAATTGTCGACCCATCCTTTGATTTTAAACCTATCCTTTGATTCCAAACCTATTCTTATTTATCGCCAAATATCTAAATTCTTCCTTTTGATCTAGCCGCTAATTTAATTCCTGTGGCTTGATTTCCTTCTCGGCACAAGAAAAATATTATTACAAATATTGTGAATAATTGCTGTTGTGCTAAGAAAATAAATTATATCCTTGTCACCTAAATTTCCTTTTAGCCTCAAACAATTCCTTGAAACCCATGCCATATATTTTAGGATTCAAATCCTATCCTTTTGCCTCCACCTATTTTCCTACCACATTCCCAAAAATATTTTGAGGAATACTATTAATTTACTTTCCTATTTGAGTGCTTCCAAATAAATTCCCTCAAACTCCACCTCTAAATATTGCACTCAAATAAATTAGAAAATCTCCTTTTCTGAATTCTCTCCTAATTCAAATTCTTCGCAAAACAACGTTATCCAAATCAAGTATACAAATTAGACTTCTTTCTTTTTGTCATCGAGCCGAAACTCCGTTCTTTCTTCCTTTTGGCCCAATCCTTTTTCTTTCTATTTTCCTCTTTCCTCTTGGGCTGCCGGCCCAGCTAAGCCGAGCCGGCCCAGTTCGGCCCACAACCCAGCCGCCTCCCTCCTCCCAGTGCGCGTGCCGTGCACGGCGCACGCCGCCGCAACCGTCGCCGCTAAGGAATCAAGTCGGCGCCGTCATCCTTCTTTCCACGCCATCGCCGTCGCCGATTCTCCCTTGTCTTACTCCTCTTCGAACCGCCTCTCATCGCCTATATAAGAGGATGAACCCCCTCTGTTTATCCCCCACAAACCGAGCTTGAAGCCCTCCTCTCTTTTCTCTCTCCTTGCCATGGCCGGCTATCACTGTCGTCGGCCGATCTCCCTCACCGGAGCAATACCGGCCAATCCCTCGCGCCATCGAGCTTGCCTCGATGAGAGGAATCCATTTTTCCCCTTTCCCCTCTTCCTCCACCTCTGAATCAAACCTCACCGGAGCTCTCTCTCTCCTCCCGGTTCACGACCTTCCATCCGCCGTTCCGGCTATTTCCCTTACTCCCTTTGCCGGCCACTGCCATCCCTAGGTGCGTTGCAGTCGGGAACACCACTGGCCGCCGGCGTCACCGCCTCCTCGCCACCGGAGCCCGGCGCCCCCTCTCCTCCTCCTCTCTGTTCGACCGAGGAGAAAAAGAAGAAAGAGACGGGAAGAAGAAGAAGAAGAAGAAGAAGAGGAGAAAAAGAAAAAGAAAAAGGAATCCCTGACAGGTGGGCCCATGAACAGTATACTTTCGCAATTTACTCTATTTAATTCAAATTCCAATCTTTAGAAGCCTATATATCCTAAACCGTAGATCCGATCTCAGTGAAACCTAGACCTAAATTCATCTAAATTCAAATGCTTCATTTTGATGCCTAATTTGTTATTTTATAATTTTATTTGAATTTATTCAAATATCAATTGAATTTATATTTGCCTTTTTCAAATATTTTCTTTTACCCCAAAATACCCTTTAGCCACTAAAAAGCCGCCGGTTGGAACTTTACGCCTTCCATGGGGACGTTTGCGGTCTATTGGCCCCGACGTCGAACCGTTGGTTGTAAAGCCCGGCAAAACCAAACCCAAGGTCGAAGTGCTGCTCCTGGCACCCCACGCCTTGATGCGTACAACGGTCGGAGCTTCACTATTCCCTCGACCTCGCACAGTTAGCTCTTGAGCTCTGTGTGATCCTAGCCGCTCCCCCGCCACTCATGGTTGTTGGAGTAACACTTCCGCCTCGCTAAACCTGCACAAACCTCCCATCCCTCTAGCCGTTATATTGTCTATCGACACCGGCTAGAGAAGATACCAAACCTAGTCGTCATGCTTTAGCGACGACTAGCGAACACCCAAACCCTAGTCGATATTTATCTTACCTCGATATCGGCTTAGACAACTGAAACCTTAGTCAACTTATTTTCTAGACTCCCCACCAGCTATAATCACAACCATTTACCTGCCTACTACCCATAGCCTATGCATGAATTACGAGCCGATATGCTATCCTATTTCAGCATCGACTCGAGAACAACTAAATCCTAGCCATTCTTCTACCAAAGCCCAACCTCGACCAATACTAGCCACATATCCACTTAACCAGTTAGATTATTCGGTATATCTCCTACTCTCCAAGAAACCAAAACCCACACAAGAAATATAAGCGACAATTGTTGCTTAATCTCCTATCCACCTTAGCCCCCAACCCTTTAGAACCTGCACATAAAATATCAGCCCAGTAATCCATATACCTGCATAAAAGAGATAACCTAAACCCTAGTCCTCCTAACTGTTTATCTCTTTCTTGCTATTTTATGGCTTTTATTGAATTTGGATCTTCCTCTTCTTCAGTAGAGTCTATTTTATATGGATAGCAACCTATGGTATTTCAAGCATCAAATAATCAGGTTGCCTATTTCGGATTTATTTGCGTTGGAGCAAGGCAAGTTATTATTTCTCTCCTTTGAGCATAATAATCCTATATTCTATATCTCCAGTATCTTCTGCATTAGCCATACATGATTTTAAATGCATAACCTGAATATATAGCAAACCAGATATATGCTAGATTTTGCTTAGCCATGCCTAGTTAGATTATGCATAAAATATAATAAACTTAGATTGGGACAGTACGGTAGAAATGGTTGATTTCCGGGTGGCTAGTACTGTTCCAACCGACATAAGACTACCAAGTACATGTGAAGAACATACGAGTACGACCGCAATTCTCGTATGGGCATAGACCTAGCTGATTAAGTTATCTAGCAAAGGCGGTACCTCTGTATAGTGGTTCTTCTTAAGTCCTCGCACAGGAGGCAAACTTACGCCGAGCAGGGCGATTGTGATATTTACCGAGGCGCAGGTAAATATCTTAATTATCTCGTGAGCTGTGTGTGTGAATTATGAAAACCTGATTGAGATGACGAGGGTCTCTCAACCAGTTCTCTCTAAAAACCCCGGGAACACCAGAACTCCTCTCGCTGCTGATAACGTTACGTTCAGAGCGTGTGGGGACTAGAGTTCATGGAACAGGTACCATTGATGTTAGTGACCGAAAAGCTTTGCCATGACAAGGCTAATGTGTTTGGCACGTCATGGATTGCGGGTAAAGCGTATATCTACTGCAGTATGAATATTATTAAAACTATTTGAATAGCCATGCTTGCGGTTATCGGGCATTGGGACTCACAATGTCATCTTGGTTAGAAACATAATTTCAAACTTTATTAAATACTGTTGCATTTAAAACATTATAGACTTTCCTTCTATATTCTCTGCTTTCTGCAAGTAAATCTAACCCTACTCGAATATTATTATTTCATGCATTCATTGTTGATTAATATAATAGCTTGCTGAGTACGTTGTACTCACCCTTGCTTCAACCCCACATTTTTTTCAGTCCGTTTGATGTTCTTACTGAAGCCGGGAGTTCAATCATATAAGTTAATCTCATTTTAACTTAGTTCTCAAGTATAGATTAGATAGATGGTTTAAGTCTATAGCAAAACACTAGAGTTGAGTCATCATATAGCTTCTGCTGTAATAGTTAGCCACAAGCTTGTAAATACCCTTATATTTTGTAATATTATCTCCTTTGAAACCTTGATCAAATGTATGCAATGAAGATCCAGATCGTTGAACATGTATCAATCTACTGATCCAGGGCTTGATACAGTCTAAACATGTCGGTTTCCGAATCATTAGTTTTGGGACCCCACACCAAATTTCTTCCTCCTTGGCATAGGTGACTTTCAATAGTCCACCAAGGAGTGATGGCAGGATAAAAGTGACACTTCTCTACCATGCTGAACCATCCCAGAAAGCTTCTCCGACCACTACATTCTATTTTGCATTGAGGTAAAGCCAGTATAGAAACAACAAGTATTCTCACCCACTTTAGCATATTGCTAGCTTTTTTGAGTACTACAAAATTAGCTGTGTTGTATATATGTAGAGTTCAGGTTACAGTTTCCAATCCAACCATACGCTCATTCATTTCTTCCTTAGAATGGAAATATTTGTGTTGGAGCATTTTCAGAATTCGAACAAGCAAAGTTCTGTATAGTATCACAACTACCTAGCATCAGTGATAAATATAGATGCTACTCAAAGCTTTTTAATTAGTATAGTATTCCTTTTCACCAGAGTTGATATGGGAGAGAAATTATAGAACTCCTGGAAAGTGATGTAGTTTTTTTATAGATGTGGGATATTTAAGTATCTTAATCTGTTGATTTAAAATTATTGTCATTGGCAAGCATTGATGATATATGTCATTGGTAAGCATTGATCTGATCGTTGCTTAATCTCTTTTCCTTAATTTGTATTGAAAGACTACTAGGAAGTATTCAATTCTTAGCACTACTTAACACTGATCCAATACAAAGATGATCTGATTGTTCACCATCAAGTGAACACTGTAGTTTACCAATACACAATGTGTTGATTTCTCTACTTTCAGATATATGTGCCAAAGCAAACTTGCAAACAGCCTTCTGTTGTGTGTACAAGTTAATGGTAATTAAGTCTCTTCAATATATTGCGGCAGTTATACTTGATACAATGTTCAATTGTTAATTCTCTTGAACCAGTTTGAGCAATTATGTATACTCAATTCAGCGGCATTATGGTCAGGCGCGGCGTAGTACGCCAATATTTCTAGTATTCTGAATAGATGGTAGTAATTTGGATGACCCCTTGCGGCGTCTGAGTCGGTGGAGAGGAAGGTGCCAATGGTCTTGACAGCCCTCGCCAAAAGGGCAAAGGGCACTGGCAGTGCTGCATAAATCAATAACAATACGGTACATTAGCAAAGATCAAAGCACCTAGTTACAACCACCTGATACTGGATGCGACATATTCTAGTACTACGTACGAATCAGGATATGCCCTAGTCTAGATTCGTAATACTATATATGCCTCATCCCGTCATAGATTGCTATATTTTGAGATGGAGTGAGTATTGACTTGCATATTGGTTGCGTTCTAAGTTTCAACTCCAGTCTCCAAACTATAACTTCCTCATTTTCCGTTAGCTTCCACTGTAAAAATTGATACATGAAAAAAATGTTATATAAAAAGGATATAGTAGATTCAACATGAAAAATGATTTAATGCAGTTATATTTTCATCTAAGCAAACTATCTCTCCTCAGAATCTGTAAAGTATTATCAGCCCAAAACAATTACATTCTGTCAATCTTAGCAGAAAAACAGCAGCAGCACTCTTCGATCTATGCACTCCACGGCAGATAAAGGTCTTCAAAGTACAGTGTCAGTTCAGATTTTATTCATGAATGAATACAGAGGAATGTTTCAAATTTAACTGCAATTTTTGTAGGCAACACAGGCAATTTGGAGGCCACACAGCCACAGGTATGTAGGTTAATTTCACAGAGATCTCGAATAACCTACAAAGCCATTCCATCTTATTCAATTTTCTCTTTCAACCATAGGTTAATCCAAGGTTGTGAAAAAGGCATATAGACTAGTGGTTGTACTGACCTGAGTAATACTCTAAAGTCCTGAGTTCAAATTTCGATAGGAGCAAATTACATATTGAGTTATTTGATGGTTAAGTTCCCTATCTTATAGGCTAAGTTCGTAATTTAAAAATATTGTATATATCCGGTTGGATGTAAAGGCCGGGTAAAAGATATCCTTCTCTTAAAACAAAAGTTTAATCCAAGGCATCAAGATCAACCAGATTGGGTTATTTGAGGGCTAAGTTCCTAATTTCAAAATGTTGTATATATTCGATTGGATGTAAAACCAGGTAAAAAATACCCTTCTCTTAAAAAATGGTTTTACTCCAAGACACCAAGATCAACCTGAATTTTAATGGATCTTAAAAAAAAGGTACTATTAGCCATGAAAGCGAGAATAGGAGACGTGACCATATTGTAAGAAAACATAATTTCAGAAACATAGTTTGCTCTGTTCGTAAAACCTGATAACTGATCTGGCAGCGCCTATGATGCTTTATTAGCAACCACTCTTCATGCAAAGCAAAACTGGGCCGATATCAGTACACAACGCATAACATAGTGAAACAATCAAGCAAACAGCCACACACCAATTTTTGTTCTTCTGTTTCGTATACCAACCTTAAACTGAGGATGAGCAGCCGTGATCTGGAGGGGATCGTTGCAGCGATGGGTGACAAAGGCAGAAGCAAGAACGAAGCCTGACGAGGTGGTGAATTCAGAAGCATTCACCTGGAGCATAATTGAAATGTTACTCCCTCCGTTTCACAATGTAAGTCATTCTAGCATTTTCCATATTCATATTGATGTTAATGAATCTAGACTAGATTTATTAACATCAATATAAATGTGAGAAATGCTAGAATGACTTACATTATGAAACGGAGGAAGTTCTACTTATCAGGAGCTTGTCAAGTCTGAATTCGCTTGCTATGAATGCCACTTCTGAATTTATGAGGAGCTTTTCTGTTCATGTGATTGAAGCTCAATTCTCATTTATTTAACAAGATTTGGAAGGAACGAAATGGTCGAGTCTTCGAGGGCGTGGCAACATCGTCTTCTTTGCTCTGCGCAGCCATTGAAGATGAATGGGAGTCTTGGAAGGCGGCCGGTCTGTTAACGGCGCTGTGAGAGGCCCTTATGTGGCTTCCTCCGGGTTCTCCGGATAGTGGTGTGCATCGTGTAAATAGGCGGTGGCTGCGAAGCCTCGCCATCTCTGTACATTCTCTAAATTCTTAATATACTACGGTCGGCGTTCTTTGTCGACCCGGCGAATTTATTTAACCATTTTGCTATATGAACAGTTAAAGAACAGATTTAATTAAAGGAGTATAATTATATAAACCCATATGAACATATGCTGTCCCAGAACACTATGCAATGTAACAGTAAGCAATCACAAATTAGTTGAACAACAGTAAAGCGATCATCAAGTGGCGCATCTAGCATTTTTATATGGGTGGTTCAAGTTATATTTTTTTTATATGGCCAGGTGGTCCATTCCATCAATATTTGGTTATATATGTCACGACGTTTGTCAATCGGCAGAGAGCACGTAGAATTACTTATAAAAAGGTAATTGTACAGAGCTATGCGCTTTCAAAACAAAAAGGCCGGTTTTAATCTTCACTACTCTGCTTTGTGTGAGGACAAGTCCAATTGCTTGGAAATCACTTAGGAGTAGGTCCACTAGGATATCTGGAATCACAATCATCCAGGTCCTCAGTCTTGCCTTGGCATGTCACAAACACCAGGAACTTGATTACAGCAACATCAAGTATTCATAGGCTTGCTATGTTGAATGCGCACGAGAGCTTTGTTGTTCAACACAAAACAAACTTATGGCCAAAATATATTCTATGTTAGATTTAATAAAATTAATTTAGTTTTATAAATGTTATAAAATTAAAGAAGTTAAGTCGAAATATGATATAATATGAATTGGAGGGAGTTAAGAAAAATGGCAGTCATAATCCATTTGGGCAGATGATGGAAGTGCACGCGCCGCGACTTGTGCCCTGCACTTGGGGAGCTCGGTGAATGGTGCAAGAAGATAAACAGGCTGGCCGGTGGAAGACCCTCGAAGTGAAGCAGAAGCATCAATCGAACTTATTCTCTCTCTCTCTCTCTCTAATTAGTCCCAAAGGACAGAGCTTATGTGTCTCTCTTACACGCCATCTCGCGGGTTGTTAGTGTAGTTTTAGGAAACTTCTATATATACCAAAATGTATATAGCTAAGTGCTGTTAAAGTGTGTGGTTACTATAACTTGGAATTTACTATTAAAAATGAAACTATTTTGAAGAAAAAAAAAGACATGGTAATTTGTCAAGTTTTAAACATGTTTTTAAACACTTTTTCATTAGAAGACGGGACCCACATGTCAGCCTAATATATTAGTCACTTAGCTAACTTAATCTCCTTCACTAGTTTTAAAAAATAAAACTTTTTCATGGTGGGCCCACTGTCAGCCTCTCTCTCTTCTTTATTTCTTTCTTCTCTCTTCTCGCTGCTCTCCCTCTCAAGCGCGCGAGCATGGGCTGCCGGCGCTAGGGCTTGCTTGTACCGGTGGTGAGCGGCTTGGAAGTGGTGGCGGCCGGTGGGGGGAAGATCTTGGGGGATCCGCCGTCGTTAGGCGGCGGCGCGAGGGCTGGTGGGGACCGAGGCGGCAGCAGCCTGCGGATCCTAGGCGCACCAGCGAAGCGGTGAAGGAGAGGGGAGGCTAAGGCCGGCGGCGGGCTTCCGGGTCCCTCAGGAGCATGATGGTTAGCGCCAGCCAGAAAACTTCACTATATCGGATGTGGTTACAAAGCACCACACGGCAGCTTACAAGAAATATATATAAAGGTGAAACATGACGATCTGTACGGTCGGCCGGTGAAGACCACGCCCCAATGCACGGCGCGCGCATGCGTTTCTGCAGCGCGGCCGGTCCGGCGGCCAGGGGACTTGGCAAGGCGAGCGAGCGCGGTAGATGGTTCCAGGGGCCTAGGAGCGGCGACCAGGGTTCACTCTATCGGTTGAGTCCTTTTGATTGGGGGTCACCGAAATCCCGAAATTTCGGCCCGAAATTTCCAAAATCTTGAGCAAAATTTAGTTGAATTTGAACAAATATTACCCAAATTCATGAAAAAATTGAAAAATTTCGGCCGAAGTTATATCGTATCGGAGGTGGCCGAAATGACCAAAATTTCCAAAATTTTCAACCTTGGCGGCGATCAAAGCACGGAGCCGGTGTGGCGGTTCGCCCTTCGGGCGGCACAGCGCCACGGCGGCGGCGGCACGGCAGGAATGCGGCCAAGAGGGAGAAGGGAGGGGAAGGGAAAGGATGGATGCTCACCGTGCAGTAGCCGGGGACCGGCACACCGAGTGAAGTCACGACAAAGCCACGGGCGTAGAGGTACCGGTCGAAGGCGCTCGGGCTCGCGGTTCGTCCTCGCGCCCAAGGTGTTCGACCGACGCCTCCGGTGTTCGTCGCGGACGCGCGCGTGGTCTACGAGGGTGGGGCCGGCTGCCATAAATGCCGCGTCCTAGTTTCTCCGACTCTCCCGCAATCATGGACGGCTGTCGACTACGCTTGCGTGCGCGAACGGGGTGGTTGGGCGGGAGCAATAGAAATGGCGACGGAACAGCGGCGCCCCGGGCGGGTTCTTGGCTGGTTGCGGGCGCGTGGCGGCGATAGATTGGGTGCGCGCGCGGTCCACGGCGACTGTTGCGGGTTTGGCCGTCGCACGGAGTTGGTGGACGGCCTCGTCCCGTTGCCAAAACAGGAAGGCGGCGTGTCGAACGGTGTTCCCGGCGCGGCGCGAGCGAGGTGTTCGTCCGCAGCGCGTGTCTCACGGGTGACATACCACGAGCCGTGGGTACAGTAGCGGCTAGGGTTTCCCATGGCGGCTCGGGCGAATGCGGCGGGTGCGGAAGACAGCGGCGAGCTCAAGGGCAAGGGCGGTAGCGCAGTGTGGCGCAAGAGGAATGGCGGCGAGGCTCTGCCGCTGCCGGAATGGGAGGGGAACGAGTCGTTGGCTCAGGTGGCTCGGCTTGGCTGGTAGCCAAGGAACTGGGTTGGGCTGGTTTGAGAGGTCTGGGCCGGGAAGGAGAGAAAAAGGGGTTGGGTAGCAAGGGACGTAAAATAAACTTTTTCAGAAAAGACCTAGCTGAGATGGTTAGGGTGAGAGGGACCTAGGCTAGACTTTTTAGGACAAAGGCCTTTTCACAAACAAGGAAAACCTCTTTTAAAGACTTGGTAATTTTCTCCAAAGGAGTAAAGGAGGCGAAAAAAAGACAATTATGTTTATAAATTAGGATTTGGCACCGGCGAAAAGGGAATTCGAAACAAAAAATCCAGCATGAGGGAAATTCGAAAAATATTTTTGATTATTCCATTTTTTTTGTTTTCGTATTTTAAATTCAAAATTTTTAGGGTGTTACAAGGTTGCCGAGCGGGAGGAGTGCAACAAGGCAATCAGGCACAATGGGAGCACTTCCAACACGAGGTGGAGACCACCAGGACAATGCGGGGTGAACTTGTTGATGCCCTGAAGCTGACGCTCCAACTGTTATTCCTAGGTTTTCGCGAGGAGGGGGGCATGTGGGCGTAGGTGGGACGACTTCTTCCAGAGGGGCCGACTGTTGTGCGATGTTTGTCGAAGGTGGTGGCCACCTCGGACGTTGATCATGCCTTGGCGGTGGTGAAGTCCCACTATTCCCGAGTGGATTTGGAAGTCATCGGGAAGGGGGATGCTGCCGATTGCTCCGACAAAGATATTTAGAGGTTGGAGGGAGAGGTTCGCCCTACCGCTTAGACGAAGACAACTACTAAAGACGCCATCTCCTCATGAAATGATAATCAAGCGCACCCCTACTTTAGCATGCCAGCTATCGATTCTTATGATTAGCAATATAATTTATAGGGTGCACAAGATTAAGTAGAGATGGTGGCATAGTTGTTTATACTGGTTCAGGCCCTCAGCGCGGGGTAATACCTTAGTCCAGTCAGTGTAGATTAGATCTGTATTGGTGTGCGCAGATCAGCGTAGGAATAGCCGATAGCGTGTATACGGGAGAATGATCAATCCTTAGCGTTTCCCCCGCGCCCCTTATATAATCACGGTGTCGGCCAGCTAGTGATGGTAAGGTAGCCCTTATAATTCGAGTACCTGCCACCTATTTATATGGGATAAGATTTATAGCTTTATCTTTAATCCCTTTCTTAACTTACAAGCAGTCTGTATGGGCCTAGATCACTCGGCCCACCCCACGCTTTAAGGCCCAAGACCTTGCCGTGAGTACCCGGATACACTCACTGCATATTCCCATTTTATTTCTTGTTCCTAAACACCTTTGAGGGATTCATATTATGTGACATAGGGTAGACATGTCACGAGGTGACATGCCTAAGCTATGTCACCCAGTCTAAATCCACCTTTGAGGCAGGTTCAACAGAATCAGATATCGACTCTCCATAGTGCAGATATTGTTGAAAACCTAGAAAGAATACTCCTAGAAAGAACTTATTAAATAAGCCAATTACCATCAATAAAATTATTTAGAATTATAGTTTTTTTATTAACTGAGCCTAAAACGAAAAAAACAATATGGGAAAGTATGTTTTAGCATCCTTAACTTGCCTTGTATTCCCTACGTCTTTGCTTCTAAAGTTCAGTAGTTTATCTGGCAGTAAAATCTGAGGAATTACTAATAAGAGACATGAAAAAGTTACATGACAAGTTAATGTCTCCTGAAAAGAAGAAAAGAAGTGCTTGGTTCCCTTCTCTTTTTCTTTTCCCCTAAAAGAGGACGCAGTTTCGTCGTACTCCTTCTATCCCATAATATAAGGGATTTTAACTTTTTCTTACACTGTTTGACCACTCGTCTTATTAAAAAAATTGTGCCAATATAAAAAACGAAAAGTTGTGTTTAAAGTGCTTTGGATAATAAAGTAAATCACAAATAAAATAAATAATAATTCAATTTTTTTTAAATAGGACGAATGGTCAAACAGCGCAACCAAAATGTCAAAATCCCTTGTATTATATTATAGTACAGAGGGAGTATAAAGTGGCACGCACTAATTAATACTACCTCCATCCCAAAATGTTTGACGCCGTTGACTTTTTTAAAAATGTTTGACCGTTCGTCTTATTCAAAAAATTTAAGTAATTGTTAATTCTTTTTTTATCATTTGATTTATTGTTAAATATACTTTTATGTATACATGTAGTTTTACACATATCATAAAAGTTTTTAATAAAACGAACGGTCAAACATTTTTAAAAAAGTCAACGGTGTCAAACATTTAGGGAAGGAGGGAGTATGTCACTGATGTGGTAGCTGCGGAGAGGTTTCATCAAAACTGTGAATCAGTTTGTGAATCTGTAAAATGTGAATCAGTTTGTGAAGGGCTAGTCAAATCTCGGTCCCAACTCCCGATCGACCCTGGTCTGTTGTTTTCACCTACAGTTGTATATCTTATCATGCACTATATTTCCAGATGAGTGACAATGTTTGAATGATATTCATTTTAGGCTTATGTAGTAATTCACACTCACACATAATGCAGCTACAATATTTCAAGACAAACTAAACCGGAGCATGTCTGAAGTGGTAACTTTAGAGTTTAGAGTGGCACAAATATACATTTTTCTTCTATCTAGGATGAAACTCCGATATGGACACCTCATTCAAAGATAATGCGGCCACGTTTGAGCTAGAACCTGTCGTGTGCCCACCATTCACGAAGGTGAACGCTGGTTTCGACGGCGCAGCGAAGCTGGTAGCATCAACGTCATGGAGCATTACAAGGATGTGCAGCATCGTCGGCCGGTCCGCCGGATTTTCCTGGACACAGAGGAGACCGAGCTGGATGCACTTGAGCATTTCGCTCTCCGGCGGACCACGGCCGTCGCCGAGCAGTGACGCGTCGACGATCGCCAGTGGCGTCCCCTTCACCCAGTGATCCCAGACCTGATGTCAAATGTTTTGCATCGTTTTATGAGTGCTTTGTGCATGAAAAATGCCATTGGTTTTAGGGAAACTGTAGACCTGTCGCTAAATAGGACTCACATAGCTTAGCAAATTGTTGGATTCTTCCACTGCACCAAACACATCGGTGTTCCTCCTTCCTGTCACTACCTCCAGAACTAAAACTCCGAAGCTGTAGACATCTAACTTGACTGATAGGAGCCCAAGAACTGCATACTCAGGCGCCATATATCCTCTGCACGTAAGTAATCCAGACTAGAAATAAATTAAGAAATCTAGCTAGTTATATTTAGATACATATATAACCTTTATAGTTTTGTATGCCAAATGTAACTAACATTTATAGTTTTGTATGCCAATTGTAATTAAGTAAAACAGATTTATATATAACTAGATGAAGGCAACGTGTAAAGAATTAATGAAGGAATTTAATTATCAGTGTCTTACAGTGTCCCGACGACATGGCTTGTGACACTAGCAGTCTTGTTGCCATCGAAAAGCCTTGCCAAGCCAAAGTCAGAGATTTTTGGGTTCATGCTAGAGTCTAGCAGTACATTGCTGGCCTTGAGGTCACGATGTATTATTTTTATGTGTGAATCTTCATGAAGGTAGACTAAGCCTCGTGCTGTCCCATGTATGATATGGTATCTCGTTTCCCAGATTAACTGGCCTCTCTTCTCCGGATCTGCCAAGTACCAAACTGATCATGTGCTTGCAAACCATGCTCGGATGCTATTTACTACGCAATTATACTACTAGTTGTCAGCATATTGATGATTACTACAGCTGAGAATGATTCCAGACTACTGGGTGTTTCATAACAAAAATGAAGCGTAGAACTATAAATGCTGTTACCAAAAAGAAAGGTGTCGAGGCTTCGATTAGGAAGGTACTCATACACGAGCAGCTTCTCCTCCCCCTTGATGCAAACACCTAGAAGTTTTGCAAGATTGTTGTGCCGGAGTTTGGCAACCAATAGGAGTTCATTTCTCAGCTGCTCAATGCCTTGTCCCGAGGCCTTGTCGAGCCTTTTGACAGCTATCTCCTCTCCATCTCGCAAGAATCCCTGAAATAAGTTTCAGATCATATCAGCAGGGTTCTCATTGGTATTTTCAGATAGTATCAAGGTGCATATACCTTGTATACAGCTCCAAAACCACCATGCCCGAGCTTGTTAACTTCTGCAAAATTAGCTGTTGCCTTCCTTAATGTTGCCAGGTCAAATAGAAGTGAACCTGCTTCGACATCTTGGTCAGCAGTATCTGCATATATAGTACACACGCATTTCTTCACCATCAGCAACCATGAATTTATATTGATGTTCCAATAACACCTGCTATAATGATTTGGTATTCAAATATTTGTCTTTTTTTTACTTACATTAACTATATTTTTATGCTCATCCCAACTAGGTACCACACAATTTAAAAGATACACCATTCGGATATCAAAATCATGAAAACCACCGTTCAAACCAGGTTGTATTGCCCTGAGTGGGATACATTAATTTGATCTGTATTGATAATTCATGAGTGAACGATAGCTAGTTTCATAGTTGGGTGTTCTTTTGGAGAAACCAGATAGTTGACAGACGCAATATGGACAGCATCCCAATCATTTTTGTTCTAATTCATTCAACCTTTCTTTGTCCACTACCACTGGGCAGGCCATTGGTGCCGGTTCATAATGGCTATCAATGTTGATTTCTTAATCGTCACATTACAATCGATAGTGATCATACCGCAATGTGCTATTCTTGGCACTAATACATGAGTATCAGAGCCATTCTTGGCACTAAATTAGCACAAATGGGCTGGCCCATTGGTGTTGGTTCGTCTGATTACCGGCACGGATACCTGAGCGCTAGTTCACGGCTCGAACTTGCATTGATAAGTGTTAATTTAGGGGAGAAATTGGGGATTTTGCTATGGAATTGGAAAATGTCTAAAATACCTCTAGACATACTATCCTTAACACCTCCACTTAAATGCAATGTATGCATTGCATTTGAAAAGTAAACTAAACACTAGGACACGTATTAGCCTATCTCCAAAGTCTTGTTGATGTCGTTGAAGTGTGCGCAGTTTTAGAAGTTGAAGAAGAAAAGATCTATCCCTTCCTCAATGAAGCAGACTTCAAGGTCTCACTACTACACGATCGATTTTCCTGGATGCCCTCCCCCTTTTGTTTCTATGCGGTCCATAAGTGGAACCGCATGGAAAAATAGGAGGACCGGCGCTAGGTCGTCGCCCGCACGGGAAAATCGATTTTTCCGTGCGGGCGTCCTAATCCAACCGCACGGGTTATTCCTCCCTCCTTTCCCTCCCACCCACTTCAAAATTTTCCTAACTCTCTCTTGCTTTTTCCCTTTTATTCCCTCTCAACCACTCCCCTCTCTCTCTACCTTATCTCTTCTTTTATCCCGTCCTCTCTCTCAGCCACTCCCTCAACCCTCTCTCTACCTTATCTCTTCTCCCTCAACCACTCCCTCGACCGGCCGGGGTGAGGTGGCGGCGGTCGGGCGAGGCGGCCGCCGGGCCGAGGCGGTGGCTGGGCGAGGCGGCGGTCGGGCGCGGCGGCGGCCTGGGCGAGGCGGCGGCCGGACACGACGGCGGCCAGGCGCGGCGACAAGCAGTGAGGCGGCCGTCAAGACCTCGCTGAGGGCGCCGACCGCATGGCCCTCGCCGTCGACGACCACGAGGCTGTTGCCGACGACTTCCGTGGCGCCACCATGAGGTGGCGCAAGACCAAGGCACTCCTAGTGCCAACGTCATCACCTGGTCCCCGCGCAACGCTGAGCGCCGCAACTACCGCCTCACCTTCCACCACCGCCACCGCGCACTCGTCGAGAACGCCTACCTCCCCCACGTCCTCGCCGAGGGCTGCGCCGTCACCGTCCGCAACCGCCAGCACTGCCTCTTCACCAACGGGTGTCGGCGGTCAGGCGTGGCGGCAGCCTGGGCGAGGCGGCGACGAGCAGCGAGGCAAGGCTTCGTCGTGCGCTCGTTGTCCTCCTCCTGGTCGTCGTGTGCATCGTAAAGGCAGCGATGTGGCGGCCGGCGGTGATTTTTGCGTATTATTTTTGTTTTTTTTGTTCCATGCGGGTAGTATAACACAACCCCACGGGATAATCGATTATCCTGTGCGGTCGACCCGCCCTTACGCGAAAATGCCGATTTTCCCAGACACCCGGCTGTAGACGAGCTGGACAACCACATGGAAAAATCAAAATACCCGCACGGAAAAATCTTGTCTGTAGTAGTGTCTTCATAAACTATTTTTCAGTCCTCGGTACATTGAAGCTGTCATGAACCGTTCTTCAACTCTTTGCTGATTCAGAGATGATGATGAAGAAGATGACAGACCTTCGCAAACTGATGATTCGGCTTCGACAGGAAGCTACGATGATGGTTAACTCTGGTGAAGATAGAGATAGACTTGAATAGCACGACTTCGATTAATTGAAGGATATATAATGACATTGGTGGACTGAATGGATTGCCAAATGACTTAAACTAGCAGTAGGATGAACTAGTAAAAGACACCATAGAATAGAGATGACAATGGGTGAGCCAAAACTTTCCCTGTCCCCGTACCCACGAAATACAATGAGGATACTTTCTTCTCATTCCTGTCCCCACATGGGGAATTAGTCCCCGTGGGGTCTCCGTCCCACGTAAAACAATATATATGTACCAAATCATACATGCAATACAACACATATATCATGTTTTATATTAATACATCAATATATATCCACTAATTCACATGATAAAACACAAGATTATCATTTATAAAGAAACATAAGTAAGATAATTACGTAAGATAAGTAAAAAAACAATGAACTTTCACTCCTAAGAGGGTCGGGGGGGGGTGAGGAATGAAGGATCATCCCTGCTCCCGCAAAACTTGAGAGGGATATGATTCCTCCCATTTAATATCTCAAGGAGAACCAATTATTCTAACCATCCCTTCCCTCTAATAGGAGAATTCTCCGTGGGCAAACGAGGACGGCCCCCCATTGCCATCTCTACCGAGGATATAGCCACAACAAGCAATAGCATAACATAGTAGTAGTGATGAAAAATAGTAATAGATGATGGCGACCGATAAGAACGACAACGGATTGCATATGTGATGGAACAGAAACTGCATAGGAAAACAAGATTCTTGAAGATAATGGTGGATTTGCAAATCGAAGATGACGATGAGCGGATGCTGGCATGCTGCTGCTACTTGAAGACGAGGAATAATGGAGCTCGAGGACAGCGACCAGAGGCTTATCTGATCTAGCTCGAGGACAACAAATTTACGAGATCTAGTTGGAACGAAGAAGAGGATGAAAGGAGCAGATATGCTTGTTTGTTGTTTGTTTGCTGCTACTACTAGTTGATGAGAAATTCAGCCGGGATGATGGTGCATCCGGCAGAGATGGGAGCCGGCGGCATTGACAACGAGGGCTGGGCTGCTGCTGCTGATGCTCGAAGACGAATGAGCTCCAGGATGACATGAGGTTTGTTTCCGCTAGATGGGATGTGGATTTTCATCCCTCGAGGGAACATTCTCTCATTGCTTGCATGTTATTTAAATAGTTATCAAAAATTTAAAAAAAATGACAACATAGATTAGTACGAAACATATCACTCCACAAATATGCAAGATCAAATTCAACTTCTATAAGTTGCAACAAAAATAACAAATTAAACTGAAAATAGTTATCGCACATTCACAACTATATTTGTTATTTTTGTTACAACTAAGTTGAATTTAAAATTGCATGTTTGTGAAGTGATATATTTCATATTAATTTATATTGCTAATTTTTTATATATTTTTTGTGACTATTTAGATGATATGTACGAAACGAGGGGATATCCTCCAGAGATGAATTCACTTTCCCCTGCTAGATGTTGCTTCACAGATCGACCTTGGGCGGCTGGTGCTGCTAGCTGCTTGACAGGAGGGGCAGATGAAACTGGCGGCGCGGAGGCACGGCCGAGACGAGATCTGGAAGCACGATGGATAAACTTGTGGCTGCTGCAGCCAGAAGACGAAGGTGACGACTTGCTACTGCTGCTCGTGCACTTGCTTGTTGGATTTGGACGTTCTTCTTGCTGCTAGATCTTACTTGCTTGTTTTGATTTGTATGTGCTTTGCTGCTTGATCTGTTTGCTTGCTGCTTGCTTGACGATGAGCTGTTGAGCGGTGGCCGCCAGCGGCGAGCCTGCCACTCGCAACGACGGAGGTTCGGTGGCTGGTGGCTAGGATATAGGTTCTGATACCATGTCACTTTATGGGAGAAATTGAGGATTTTGCTCTTGAAGAATTAGGCTCAAAGAGAAAAAATATATTTGTACAAGAGAGAGATGGGAAATATTTAAAATTCCCCTAGACATACTACACCCTTAATAATAATGAGTATTTTTTTGCGGTTTTCTCTAGGCTAATTAATGTTTGGGCAAGAAAAATAGATGAACCAGTAGTAATAGTATAATCGTTGTCAGTTCTATAGAGAACTGTATAGGAACTGATAATGATGAGTTGGTTCGGACCGACCGTTAAGTACTCTAGATTGCTAATTAGTAATTAGCGGTCAATCGCCTGGGGCGATTTTTTTTTCATCACTTTCTTTTCTTTTGGCACCATATAGTTTTTCTTTCCGGATAAATTTATATACCTAAAGTTTACGCACCTAAAATTCATATGTCAAAAATTTATATACCCAATTCAAATTTAAATTCGGATTTAAATATTTTTTGTATAGTACATAAAGTTTATACTTATAAAGTTTACTGTATATATTTATAAGTATAAAACATATGCACATGAATATATTTTTAAGGGTAATAGATTTTTTTTCTATTTTCTTTTATTTTTTTCTAACTTGTTTTTCTTAAAAAAATTATGGTGCGGTAGGAAGGGAAAAAAGGGGAGGAGTGTGCGCGTAAGGCGGAGGGACGGGGGATGCCCGATCGCCCACAACGATCAGCCGCCCAATAGCACTCCCCTTAAGTACTTGCTGGAACAAATATAACAGCATTATTGTCTCATGCCTCATAGCCTAGTTGTTTTAATTTGCTCCGAAATCTATGGGTGGCTCTCGGTTCAGTCGGTTCTGTTTAGCTCTCAGCTAGCGTGTCACAAAATAGTTCATTGTAAGGCATAGAGTAAGTGGACGACCATTTGCAATTTCATTAGTCGTTAATTTGGAACAGAAAATGGAGCGGATAATTAAGAAGACACACTCACATTGTTTTGCTTGCAATTTTCTCCAGAGGTAAATGGAGAGCACAGACAGAAGTGCAATTATTACAGCAGCAAGGACAGATACAACAACAGTTGCGGCATTTGGGCGCCTTCTCCTGTTTCCTGCAGTAAAATGCAAATGTGCCGTTATTTCAGAATAATCAGAGGACAGGACGACAGGTATGCTAGAAATTTGGTTATCCGGCCTTGTAGTGTTGAACAACTCACCTATAATCAGAGTTGTTGAACCATTAATGTTGGGACCCTCGAGTGATGGCGACGCGACGAGCCTCACCGCTGGGTCACCGTCGTAGAAGACCGATGTCTCATACCTAAGGTTGCACCACACAGCATTGAACTGCCCCCCAATCCTTCCACCAAAAGCCTGGGGCATGTCGACGATGAGCGCCTGGAGACACGCGCGGCACGCCGGCGGCGCCAGGTCTGGTGCACACTGCACCAGCCCATAGATGTTGTGCACCATGTACCCCGTTGTTGACGGGAACCCGTCGCTCGAGGCCATCACCCCTGCGGCGTACCTCAACGTCGAGTTGTACGCCGCCCAGTCCGCCAGCGCACCAGCGAGGCGTGTCACGAGCGCGTCGAAGTGGCCTGCGTTGACGGTGGCTTGGTACTTGCTGGGGCTTACCATGAGCACCTCCGTATTGTCGGGCCTCGCCGTGAAGTCCCCGTACGAGAACCGCGCGATGCAGCGGTCGTAGAAGACGGTCACGTCCCTGACGCCGCGGCACTGGTGGAAGGCGATAGCCGGCACGGCGGCGACGCAGGACGCGCACACGGCATGGTCGGTGTCACCCCGGCAGAGCGCAAGGCCCCAGACCGTGTCCGCGCCGCGCCCTGCCGACGCGGTGGCGAAGCCTGTGGTGGCGTTGGGCGTGCTGGCGGACAGCGTGGCGAGCACGGCGCGGACGTTGGAGTCGTAGGTGGAGTTCTCGGCGTAGGAGCTACCGTTGTTGCAGGAGTAGTTCATGAGCACCTGAGCGCGGCAATGGCGGGGGATGGAGAAGAGAGGAGCAAGCAGCACCAATGGTACTAGGGTGGACCACAACATCGTCGGCACAGTCATGGCGCTGGTCATGATCGGTCGAGTGATTAACTGTATATATGTGGACTTATATTGTAGAACTTGGGTAACGGGCGCTTAAAAGTCCGCCAAGTTTCTTTCATATGCCGTGCAACAATGTGAAGACCGATACATTTTTGACAAAGCTGACCAAAGTGTCAAGCAAGGTGGCTTGAAAAATCTGCTTGGCTGAGATCTTCTTTCTTTCGGCTGACACTTATAATTAATCCGTGACGCATAACCGATGAAAAAAAAAGTATAACATATGTACTTCCACTCTTAGCGGTTTAAATGAACTAGGAAGGTAGCCCGCGCATTCGCGCGGGCATGCATCGTGTTGTGCTTCAAAACGGAATATAAACCGGATAACATTTGCCACACTTCAAATGTATGATTTCTCCACATTTTTTCCATCAGCATTGCTACTTAACTAATCGTAATAAATAACTATTTATAATCTTCTTTATCAAGGTAGACTTATTTTGTTTAGAGCACATCTACCAAATAATGTTCTAGAATAAAAGTAAGTCGTTTTTATTTTTTTAATTGAATTACCGATAGAGGCTGTCATTGTTTAGATCTAATGGTTAAAAATAATTAGTCCATTAGCTTAAATGATAAGCATAGCGAGATGTTTTACTTTTGCAAAAAATTTAGGGTTTTCTATAATTTATTAGAGTGTCATGTGGTGGCCTAGGAGCATTTGCAAGAGTAACATGTGGTGGCTTTATATAAAAGGTACCATCGTCTGAAGTCGATTAGATGGTACATAACATATATTCAAAGCACTTACGTAAAATATTGTTTGGCTTGTTTGGATTATTGAGCATATAATTTAGAAAAAAAACATTTATGAAATAATCAGATTTTTTTTCTCTAACTAAACGCACCAGTTTTCTTTATACAATAGCCTAAACTCTTCACGTTCGATTGTTTTTTTTCTTGTACAGTATGTATCTAATTTAGCTGTCTATTTGCAACGATGTATGATGATGCAACATGTGTTTGTTGAATTAGTTGATATTTTTTTATAGAAATTTGGATAACAGGTAAAAAGGCAGTGGTGTGTTTGTGCCCCCAAGTTATTTTTATATAGGTTTGCAAAACAATATGTGATTGTGCGACATGCGTTGTTGAATTGTTTCATAGTTTTTAATCGCAATTAGGGTGACATGTAAAATGGTAGGAGTGTCCTATCGATAATAAATTTGATTGAAATATGAATTTTTATACTTATTCAATATTATTGATTAAATTTAATCATGCATGTTTGCAGATGATGTTGATGAAAACAAATATATTGACGATTCTTTATGATATTATGTTGCTATACGATATGCAAAGCACACGGGTTGAGTGTGCCCGTATTTTTTAAATAGCAAAATATAGACATATGGATCTTAAATTGTTAGTTTAATTATAAATAGAGCAACAGTTAGAATAGAAATCATGTGTGTCGCTTAAAGTTTTTGTACTTTTAGTATATATATAAAATTATTGGTTGTTTCTCTGTTTAGTTTGATAGCTGATAATACGAAGAGGAGACTGGAGAGATATTAATAGCATAGAGCTCGTATGAGAGATAGGAAGGGGTGACATGTGACAAAAGGTGGAGGTGGAGGGACTTAGGGGCTGTTCGATTGATGGCCATAAGTAGCCACATTTGACGTTAGTCAAGTTTGCCCATATTAGATGAGTGTTTGATTGGTTGTCAGAAGTGTGGCAAGATTCCTATTTTATCATCTAGGTCCTAGATCCCACATGTAAGTGGTTTTGAAAAGTATAGCATAGTTTCACTTTGTTGGCTGAAGTGTGGCTAAGATTTCGAAGGCTTCACCTTAGACAAGCTTGGCAAAGAAAGTGTAACGAACCTATACAACCTTAGCATATGAATCAAACAGCCCCTATTTCTATTCTTTCTAACTGCTAAGTGCAACTGATGGTTTGTTTATTTTCTCATATTTCTGTGATTCTAAAACATGACATGTTGCGGCTTAAGATTTCTTAAAAAAGATATGATGGTTAAAAATAATGGTATATTCATTTAGGTGGAAACCAATAATTATATTTTATTTCTTTTCTTTGAATTTCTAAGTTCTTTCTAAATTTAAAACGTCACACATGGTGACTTAAAAGCGCTTTGGAGAATTTAATCGACTTTTATTATATAAAATGATTCAAAGGTGACATAATAGATATTATTTTTTTAATGTTTTGTTCCTATTTAAGTTGTCGTGCAAACGACAACAGTCTAAAGTTAAGTCTAAAATTAGGAGGGTATGTTTTCTTGATTTAATAGGTTTGCTGTTTGAATTATCTATACGTTTATTTCTAATGGTTAAGGTCCACTAATTTAAGAGAAAACAGATGGTAAGATGTTTTTTATTTTTCTTTATAATATTTTTTTCTATATTTAAATTATTTGCTACCCTCGAAATAAATATTAGCAAGGTGTGAGATCGGATTAAAGGAGGGAGGCATACGTTCGTACCAGGTACGTAGGTACGTGCGTGCAATGTTGGGTTGTGGGCCGGTGAGAGGAGATGGTGGGCTGGGTTGTGGGGTCTCTATTTTAAAAGATAATCAAATAATTTAGAATAGTGGGTCCACCGATTTATTAAAGTGCCATGTGGCTATTTAGGAGCGTTTGTAGTAGCGTGACATGGCAGCTTAGGAGCGTTTGTAGAAAGTTTAATGGACTTTTAGTATATAATAGATAGATAGATAGATAGATAGATAGATGTTAAGGCTGAAAAATAGAAAATAATCAGAATAACACATATTAATATTAATATTCTAAGTTGAAAATTGGTCGTAACTTTATAAGCCAACGAGCTGCTAAAAGCACACAAAATTTTGGATTTATCAGTGGATCCTGCTAGGAAGTACACTACTGCACTAGCTAGCTGAAAATTACGAAATTAGGTAGAATTTCGTGCTGGATATGTGGAAATGGATCAAAAGTTTAAACCGTCTGAAAACTTGGTTTGAAAATTCTATGATTTCGGTCCGCTCTTCTTTTCTTTTAACATTTCAAAAGGTATTCCACTAATATTCTCTGTCCGTGATATTAATGAGAGTGCAAAAGTTTCTCTAAATTAAGCCATGTCACCAATTAAAACACAGCCACCTGATTAAACCACGGACTCTCGATAATTTAGTTGGCATATTGCCCAAATTGTTGTATGTGTGATAGCTGCATCTTAATTGCCTAATGTCAGCAACGAATCTCAGCCATGTGCTGGTCCCGTCCAGTCGAAGGGCCAAGAAAGCTAGACGACTTGCATGCGATCGGAGTTGAAGCCTTGAAGGGGCCAAATTAATCAAGTGGTTAATATAATTATTTGATTAATTAGTAAAATATTTCATTGAGGTGGCCGGGCCTACAGGGATCCTACTGCACGCTCACGCGCCAGCTCAATAAGTAGCAAGTTTTCAAATCTAAATGAAAAAATTTCCAATCTATTAGTAAATAAAATCTTCAAAAAAGTCTTCACATTTTTTTCTAATTACTGTCATAGCGTTAACTAATGAGTTAGTTACGCGCAGAAGTGGCGTCGCTGGCGCGCACGCGCCAGCTAGCGTCCCCCGCCGAGAATCCTAATACACGTGCGGTCCGACAGCCCGCACTCCCGGCCCACACGGCCCACGCGGTGCGCGCGCACGATTTTTCTTTTTTCGCTTTCCTACCGCCGTTTTTTTTCTTTTTTGCTTTTTTCGCAGTTTGATGCCGTATGGGTAGGAGAAACAATCGTAATTAGTTTTACCATTGATTAGTTTCCTATTTTTACTAGTAATTTTTAAATTTGAACTTAAAAATTTTTAAATTTGGACTTGAAAGTTTTCAAATCTCGAGTTGAATGTTTTCAAATCTCGAGTTGAAAGTTTTTAAATCTAGATTTGAAAGTTTTCGAATATTGAGTTGAAAGTTTTCAAATCTTGAGTTAAAAATTTTCAAATCTCAAGTTGAAAGTTTTCGAAATTTTCAAATCTGGACTTGAAAGTTTTTGACACTCGAGTTGAAAATTTTCAAATTTCAAGATGAAAGTTTTCAAAATTTTCAAATCTGGACTTGAAAGTTTTCAAATCTCGAGTTGAAAGTTTTCAAATTTTGACTTTAAAAATTTAAATCTTAAGTTGAAAGTTTTCAAATCTAACTGAAAATTTTTTCAATCTACTAGTAAAAAAAATCTTCACTTTTTTTCTAATTACTATCATTAGTGTTAACTAAGGGAGTTAGTTACGCGCGGAAGTGCGTGTTGCGGGCGCACACGTGCCAGCTAGCTTCCCCCGTAGCACGCACGCGGCACCCCGACGTCCGTGTCGTCCTAGCCACTAATTTAAAAAAGTATATAAATAATTTATTTAGTTAATAGTTTTAAAAATACATTTGAAAGTTTTAAATTTTAGTTGAAAATTTTAAAATTTTGAGTTGAAAGCTTTTAAATTTGTGATGGAAGTTTTGAAATTTTGAATTGAAAGTTTTGAAATTCAAGTTGAAAAGTTTCAAAATTTTGAGTTGAATTAAATTTTGACTTGAAAGTTTCAAAATTTGAGTTAAAAACTTTTGAATTTTGAGTTGAAAGTTTCATATTTTGACACGATAGTTTTCAATTTTTTATTTTTATCTTAAGATTTGAAAATTTTCAACTTACATTTGAAAACTTTCATCTCCAAATTCAAAACTTTTAACTTAATTAAAAACTTTCAACTGAAATTAAAGGTGATAGATTCAATTTCTAAAATTAAAAAAAGGCAAAATTTGCAACAGGACACTGAAATATTGTGGCCTTTGCTGTGAGACACCCAAAAATCGTGAATCTTTTCGAGAACACTGTAAAAAAGTGGTAATTAGCTACTGGACACTACTCACATTATTTTATTATTTTCGGCTAAAATGGAGAGAGAAAGAGTAGTGTAAGTACCAAAATGCCACTGGACACTATTTCTCTTCTCCTCCTTCCAGCCGAGTAACAGAGGAGAGGGAGAGAGTAGGGCGTCGATGCTCCGGTGGCCGGGGATCGGCGACGTTGGTGGCGGATGATGTTCCCGGGCGACGCGCATCCGGGGAGGGTGGTGTCAAGCAAAGGGGGAGAAGGAGATGGCTGGAACGACAACACAAAGAGCTCAGCTCCGGCCGGCTATGGTGGCGGCGGTGGTGGCCTGACTAAGAGGTGGAGGGAGAGGGGAAAGGGGAAAAATGAACTCTCCTCGGTGAGGCAGAGCCGATGGTGAAAGGGAATAGGAAGGGGAGCAACGGAGGAGGAGATCGGTTGGTCGTAGGTG